CATGAGCGGTCTACAAAACCGAAGTCCATTTTCGCTGAGCAGCCCCATAAAGTCCAAAAAGTGGTAAAGCAATGATACGAGGTTCAATTCCCCGTGATGACCGAATTGTTGCACTTTAGGTTTGGGCTCACAGATTCACTCTAAATAGCCCAAGCGCCAAGAGTAGGCGTCGTTTTCATTACCAGGATCATCAGCAACCCTTACAGTCAGTTTTTACCGAAATCCAATGAGAACCATAAAATCACCGCTTTTTTCGATCCTTTTTTGCCCTTCAGGAGGAACTCAGGGAATGGAGCGTCACATTTGCAGCCTACAACAGAGAGCGCTCAACACCCTGAAAGACCCCCCCCCTTTGTCAGTGTTAGCTTAACACCTCTTCGGGACTGTGTGAGTAGTTCTTGGCGACTTTCAATCAATACGTAGGAATTTATCGATAGGATGGAATTTGGCAAAACAACTCGCCTAGATTGGTGGTGGGAAGTTCCCTCAGAAAATTAGTGAAACCCGCGCTCGGGGAGTATTTCTCCTCTCACCACAAAGGTGAAATCCACTTTTCTAAGGCCGATGTCAGACTTTGCGATTCGCGCGATTCGCTAGCGTCCGCGGTCGCGTTGCGGTACCAGCCAATTGAGTGATTCACTGGCCGCGACGCGACCGCAGACGCTAGCGAATCGCGCGATTCGCAAAGTCTGACATCGGCCTAAGGGGGAATAAGCAAGTTCAGATTGTGACGATCTTTTCAGCTAGAATTCTCGGATCGCGAATTCGCTTCGGTCACGTTGTGCCATTTGAATGCGTGGAAGAGGGACGAGAGTGCTCTGGCGAACCCCAAAATGAAAGCTTTGGTGAGGGTTTTGGTGAACACCATCGACCCTTGAGTAATGCAGATCGCTGAATTCAGGTGGATGCGTACCAAGCGGGTACCGCTTTTCCGCAGTACGGTTTCAGCGATCGCCTCGACGGAGCTCGTCAACAAAGTGCCACCAAATACACGCTACTCATGAGTGAGATCCTGCACTCGTCAAGTAAACGGCCGGTGAGTTCACGGTTACGTTCACCTCGGAGATGTGGCAGAGCGGAGCCCTTCCGAATTTCATCAGGGGCTGGGTGCAGTGAGCTGCAACTCGAGGGGGATCCCCAAAACTCCACATCTTAGGAAGCTTACCCTATTCTTGACCATGAGCGTTGCGTCATCGACCAGAATAGAGACGTAGAGTTTCGGGGGGTACCCGACAGGAGGCTCGTCGCGCGGTAAGAAGGCAGAGTCAGAGGTGAGTCGCCGCGCGTACTGTAGTGATTCTTTCAAGTTAAAAGACGTCAATTTAGATAGAATGTGCCACTGTACGTCCTACATCGCACATCACGCGCTGCGACTCGTCCGCCGACACTGCCTTCTTGCGCGCGACGGGCCTCCTGTCCCGTTACCCGTTTTGATGACCCATCCAAGAGTGAGCCTCGTGAACCCGGCTCCAGGGACCTCCAGCAAATGAGACACTTGGCAACAAACGAATACGTTTTAGGGTTCACGACATGCGTACACCTATGAGGACCTCGTCATTAGTTGCACCTACAACGCCAAGTCCTGCAACACAACGTGAGTGGCTGCGTAAGGCTTGCTTGGGCCTTCTTCAAACAGATTTCCGGTTCAGAGACTTTCGCGAGTTCTACGACCCATCTCATGGTATTTGTCAAACGTTCAACTTCGACGGCAACAAGACTTCGTCAAGAGCAGGACCCCTGTACGGTCTGCGAATGGTGATCCGAACTGATCAGGCGAAATACCTGCCGTGGACAGAAACTGCCGGAGTCATCATGTCCATTCATGGCAAGGTTTGCTAGCTTTCTCTTTGTACTTAAAGGCAGTGGTCACGATCGCTGATGGGCGGTGCTCCGCTCTGATGGCGCCAATGAACGGTAGCAGGGACGTCGACCGAGAAGCGTCTAGAAGGCGGTACAGAGTTTAGGGCTTGCTGCACCCGTTAAGGACCGGGTTGCAGCAAGCCGACCACTCGATGATCGCCTAAAACTCTGCGTCTTTTACTTTGGTCAAATGCCGCAACTCTGTGGCGAGAACAAGGGAAGCGTCCAGAGATGCAGAGTTCTGGGACCCAATTCCCGAGTTGGTGTTTGCGTAGGGCACCCGGCCTCAGAAAGCCTATCGCGCGGAAAGGGGATAAGGACGCTATCGGGAGGGTTGCCTACTCCATCCTCCCTACTGCTCCTCTCCTCTCGCACTATCCACATTTGAATGAATCTGATACGGCGCAAAAAACTCGTCCAATTTTCTTCCTCTTGCGTGCCCACGCCTTTGCCGAAGAGTGGGCCTCTTGACCGGTATCCTTCAAAAACAAATCCCCAAAATGGTCTACTCCACCAATGTTCAACAACGTCATTGAAACACCAGCACCATCAAGCCTTTGTGACCACTGCCTTTAGGTCAAGTTACGGAAAGTCCTGCGATTTGTTCAAGAGCTCTTTTTGCCTGTGAGAGTGGGTGTCGCGCAAATGTCGTTGACGGCGACGCATCCGTGGGGCCATGTCGTGGTCCGACCTGATTGGTGCATCAGATCTCTGATTGTGGCTCCTCTAGGATAGTTCTAGGTTGAGCGAGTCGTCTCCTTGAAGAGGTCGTTTATTAGAGATGACCGTGTTGAACACGACCTTCAGACCTACATTAGGACACGACCTTCAAGACTTACATTAGGGGGATTCTTTGAGGGAAATTTCCAAAAATTCTGTAGAAGTGAGGCTTGAACCAATTTCTAACCTCCCACTCCTTTTTTATGAACTGTTTCCAGGACGAAGTACCATTCCCGGATGTGTTTGGCTACTTTGCCGCTCGGGAACTGCCACGTCACTAGGTGTTCGATTCATCAGTACTACTAGACTTCCAGAACACATGGCACCTGACGCAGGCAACAAAACCGTGAATGGCAAACACATACAAGCGAAATTACGATGTAAACTTGACCTTTTCTATTTATTTTTTCATTCTTTATTTACATTTTACATGTTTTCACTTTTTTATTGGTGCACTCAGCTGAGCGTAATAGATATAACCTATTATAAATAATATGTACACCTATCATATCGTATCATATGCTTATAATATCATATAGTAGCTAAATAAATGAATAAATGTAAACAAGGGGGCTCGGAAGCAGCGTCAAACGTGTGTTGAGCAGATTTCAAAATTTTTACTTCCCCTCCCTTTACATTTCCATTTTTATTTATTTATTTATTACATAATGGTAAGCATTGATACCTTATGATTAGGTTGTAGCATATATTATTTTAGAACATAACTAATATCGTATTACGCTCGTTGAGCGCAGATCAAACAAAAAAGAGAAAATCAACCCTCTGCACTATCTTTCTATCACCACCCATAAGTCTTTAATGACTATCCCGATACCACCACTTACCCTACCCCTACCACCATTCTACCCTCACCATCACCATCATGATGACAGTTTCCATAATATCCAACTACGCCACCTTTCCAGTCCAAAACGGCCGTCCACCAGGGAAAGGGCGCGAGGGAGGGTGGGGGGGGGGAGGGATAGGTAAATACATCGGATACTGCAATAATTTTCCCTAACTTCTTTGTTTCAAAACCCCTCAATCAGGTTGGGTTACCGTCCTGGCCACTTCAATTTCCAGAAATACCTCTTTTCTCTCACATTCTGGCATTTGTTAAAATATGACCCCTCCACATCTTCTGAGGACGCGCAACCCACCGTGCCCCTGATTGGATTGTATTTCCATGAAGATTCGTTACAGAGTGAGTCGTGCTTCCGCAACTGTCTACAGGAACGGATCGTGACCGACTGCGAATGTTATGATCCGGCTTATCAGCATGCAGATGACGGCGGAGCTACTCCGAGCTGTGCTGATGGAAATCAAACTGAAAACTGTAAGTGTCACATTTCACGGTACACAGATACGTAGGGAAAAACTGCACCAAATCACAGGGGCTTAAAAGCACACCGACATACACCAAAAATCATAGCACCCTAAGAACAACCAGCTCCACGCTGTTCCATCTCAGAACGAAATAACCCCTTTTTATAACACACAAGAAAGGGGCGGACGTGCCGCGGTAGGCGGAGTTTATGTATGCGGTAGTATGTATCAATGCCGTGTATGAGTTAAAGTCTCGGCAGCAATTGGATGTCGAGATATAACCACTTTTATAACACAAAAAGGGGCGGAGTTTGCGCGGTGGGCGGAGTTTGTATGTATGAGTGTAGTATGTATGTGGTCCCTGCTCTTTCTGAGCTTCAATCCCGAAAATTCCTCTCACGATCCTTTCTCAAAATTCGTAATTTTTTTAATATTCCAAATTTTCAGTGGCCTGCATCGAACGTATTGAGAACTCAGATTCCGGCGAATTCAACATCATCAGGGACTGCGATTGCCCACAACCATGCGAGTAAGTGCAGAATGCTGAAAATGTAGTTCGGGGAGGGGGGACTCATATTTAAACGAGTGGACTTGCGGCAGGCAGTTATACCTGATCAAAATACGTAGTAAGTAGAAAGGCGCATATTTTATCAAACGTAATCTTCACATCTTTCACCCAACGGTGGCTCAGGGCCACTACGTCACTTGTTGCCCTTGTTGAGCGCTATCGCAATTTACGGGCATCGTGGTGGCATTGCATTTGATACCGCGTAAAACGTGTCGTTTTCCATTATAAATGAATGTGCTCGGGCGGGAAGCGAAGACCCAGGACTCCAACTTGCGTTAGCATTTCATTTTCCCCCGGAGCCCCTCCTTAGGCTTGCCGGCAGATGCCCCCGTATTTGCGATTTGCGCCCTCGCCCTTTTAGACAAAATGACCGCTACTTGTCTTTGTTTTTCAACGTAAATCCATTCTTACGACGTCATGCTCTTGAAAAAAGGCCCCTTCAGATATCCAATTTTGTACGGAGTCCTGGTTGGCATCCCTTTCTAATCGTACGCTCGGCCTGTGCTCTGAATGTTGATCAGATATAACTGCCATTCCGCAACTCCACTTCGATTAGATATTATGAGTGCCCCCCCCCCCAACTACGTTGTCACCTGCAGAAATTCACACCAGAACATGCTGAACAGGTAATAAAGTGTTTAGGGTTGATTCGTACTCTGTGACGGTGTCCACTGCAAAATGGCCTTCGACTGCTTATAAGGTGAGTGAATGTGACCTCAAGCTTTTGAATTGGGCTGCTACGAAATACGAACCTAAAGTCCAACGCATGGCTCTCTAGCGTGTGAGAGTAATGCCGAGAGTGAACGTACGCACGGAGACACAGACGGCTCGCGCAAGGCGAGTGCGAATGCCGGCGCGGAGAGCGGTCAACGTCGGTCCAACGTCGGTCCAATGTCGGTCCAACGTAACGGTTGACCCTGCTTAAAGGATAGTTACTCCCGATTTGGGTTCCACTGGGGATAATGGAATGAAGTGGACACCAATTTGAAGGCTTTTTCGCTGAAGGTTGAAGACACGAAGCCCACGAGCAGACAATCTAATCAAAATTAAAGTCCAACTAAAAAAAGTGCTGATTAAGCGTTCTGACTGACACAAATAAGAACACTCTATTTCGGAAAACCAGAAGGGGGTCGAGTGCAGACCAAACACCACAAATAACGACCACGAGGAAATCGTAGCTTTTTCTTCTTTCTTGGCCGTCGTCAACTTGGTAGTGATCGGTCTGCACCCCATGCTCTTCTCATTTCTTGAAATAGAGAGTATGTGTTCATTAAAAAAAGTGAAGCGGAACGATTTGCATTTGATGCCTAAATTGCGTCTCCTGAACTCTTCCGGCGGGAAGTTGTGCTACAATAAAGCTCCCTTGAGCCTACATCGAAACTTTTCTGGGCCCTATCGCAAGATATACGATCACCCCTCTAGACCTGAAAGGGCAGGAAATTCTCTGCGTAGACTGAAAATGGTTGACTCACCTTGGAGTCTGTCCTCCCCCGCCTAAGGCTTGATCTTCTTTTTAGCAAAGAAGGATATGTTTTGCGCGATTATGAGTGCTGTGCCAGCACAATGCCCCCGTATCTTGTGATAGCGCCCTTTTGTGCATGTAAGCTCAAGCTTGAACACTACTGTTATTTCAGCCTGAAGAATGCCAGAAGAACGCGCCCGATTCAGCGTGGGCAGCAGCGAATATGAACTGCTTGGAATGGTACCAGAAAAATACTCTCCTGGTGGAGATCTACTACGAGCGCATGAACTACCAAGTGCTCACCGAATCACCTGCTTACTCGGTACCATTAAGCCGATGTCAGACTTTGCGAATCGCGCGATTCGCTAGCGTCCGCGGTCGCGTCGCGGCCAGTGAATCACTCAATTGGCTGGTACCGCAACGCGACCGCGGACGCTAGCGAATCGCGCGATTCAAAGTCTGACATCGGCCTAATGCGTTTTTAGTGGGGTTAAAAAGCAAAGTCATCCTGTTTCAGTTGGTGAATTTGGTGTCAGATGTGGGCGGTCAAGTGGGTTTGTTCCTTGGCATGAGCATCATCTCTGTGATCGAGCTGCTGACGCTCGTGTTGCTCCTTGTGTGCTACTGTGCCACCCACAAAAGTCGCAAACAAGAAATTGCTTCAATCGAGCAGGAATCACACAACGCTAAGGTAAGCAGGAGAGAGGGGTTTGTGTAGGTTTGAGGTAACCAAAGCAGAATAGTGTCACGATGTCATTGGTCCCATAAAAGCTGTCGCCTAACGGGGCATCACTTTCAAAAATTTAAATTTTGATCAACAACTTAGTTTATTTCTTTGGGTAATTTCCCGATACTTATATGTATCTGACTTCATTGTTACCGTGTTGTCAACGGAGAAGCCAGCTATAGAAAAAGCTGTGAAGAAGGAATTAATTGAAAGGGTAAGATGGATGAAAAGGTCTGGAGCGAGGACTCCTTTTCTTGAAAAAAGTGAGTGGAGGGTTTTGTTTGTATTTCAAAAATGAACTACTTCATTTGTCGAGCTTTTTATTATCCGTGGTTCCAGGAAAAAGCGGATCGAATGGCGGCGCGAAATCGTCGCGCGATGATGCAGCGATCCAAAGGAGTCTATGGTGCCGATGACAGTGACGCACTGCCACCTCCTGTCATATCGCCGAACTAACGAATTCCGACATCCATTCTGATGCAAGTCTCAAAATTACGCATATTTATTGGACAGCAGATAAATGATATCATATGCAGTACTTCTCTACCACCATTATTTTCGGCCACGAAAGCTCAAACCGCTCATGTGCACCAACTTCGAGCGCTTAGGCCGATGTCAGACTTTGCGAATCGCGCGATTCGCTAGCGTCCGCGGTCGCGTCGCGGCCAGTGAATCACTCAATTGGCTGGTACCGCAACGCGACCGCGGACGCTAGCGAATCGCTCGATTCGCAAAGTCTGACATCGGCCTAAGGTGGATTTCGCAATAAAAATGATTATCGAAGAAGGAGGAACTTACCTAGTGGACAAACGGACGGACTTTCAAAGTTTGGGAGACCGGCACCGCGATCGATCAAAAGATATGCCCCGGCATCTAGCATGGTGCTTTCGGCGCTCTTGCGCTCTTATCGGGCGATACGTCCCCTCTCGGCTGTTCTAAACCTACGGGTAAAACTGTCGCGTTCCAAACCAATCTACGATTTCGTCTCGCCCTCCGCTTTTTACGGAGTCCGATGCATACCGCTCAATTCCATCTGCCTTAGGCACATCAACATACTCCGCATCCCTCTCTTAGCCGATACCACGATCGTCATTATCGTTGTTCGTACAGGATCTATTCCGAACCAGTCGATCACAATCAACTTACCGCCGTGTTCTCAGAGCTGATGGAAGGGAAGGAGGCGGACAAATTGAGATACTTGAAGCGGGCAAATTCTCTTTTTTGTCCCTTACCCTCTTTCAAAAAATTTTCGTCAAAAACCCGTCCAACACAAACCCGTTAACACTTTTCTCAGATGTAGTCAACTCTGCTCAATTCCAAATTACGAGCCCCCTGTCCCCAACTTCGCGAATGGCGATCCCCTCGTTCGAATAGTGCGGGCGGATGTTTACCCTGGTCTGTGTCGTTCGCAGAGAGAGCGTTAAAGTTTCCACACCGCTTGAGGTCGTATCCAGTGATTGGAAACCAACGGTTCAGGAAGTGTGCATTTCTCAGGGTTCTAGGCCATCTTTCTCGGTTTATTTCTTCCGTTTTGCACGGTGACTTGAAGGCAATCTCCGGATTGAGTTCAAAATTAGTTTACGAGAAATGTAAGCGCTACGCAGTGGGAAGCAGAACACGACTTTGCGGAGAATGATTGACAGGCCGAGGCGCTAAGGCTTTTAGATGCAGGTTCTGCCCCCGTCCAACACACTGAACCGCCCACAAATCAATGCTACGTTTTTGTGCCACTAAGGAGGAGCTTTTATGTCCGATCTTTCGATTGGTTTCTTCGCGTTTTACATTGTGCGGCGTTCACATCTCAATCTCCACTGTTCACACGCAAGCTAATATACACCATTCGTCCAAGCTCGCCTTTAAGCTCCAATAGGCTGCTTTTCATCGTTAAATCCGCCTTCAACTGTGGCCTGCTTTCTTCAAAAGTGACCCCAGGGCCACAGAGGCGTGAGGGTGTGAGTGTACACGATGAGCGGTGCTATTGCCAGCGTCAGCTTTACACTCCCACCGGCAGCAGCCAGCAGCCAGCCGCTTCCCCCGCAAATCCATTCTCGCCGACGGATAACATCATCTCCGCTATCACTGTCTCTTCATTAGGCGACGGATCGTTCATTGTGCCTTTTGTTCGTCTGATTACTTTGGTGTTTGCCATCGCAAAAGGAAGTTGGACAGAATCTGTTCTATGGATCTTAGTAGGCGCATAAACCGGCCGCTATCGCAAAATTAGGGGCTGGAAAACGACAGAACTTTCTGAAACACCTAATACTAAGCCTTAGGCGAGGAGAGAGACTTCAGGGTGCATGAGCAATTTTAATTTTCATTCCTGGACTTCCTGCTCTCCTAGGCTCAGAGGGTCAAAGGGTTACGGAGTACGGTGGTTTGTCTGAATTAGAAGCGAAACAAACTATGTCGTGTTTTTTGTTCATCCCCACAAGATACATAACATTTTATCCTATTTATTGGTCCCATAAGATGCCCCCTATCTTGCGATAGCGCCCACAAATCTCCTATGGAGGGAAGAGCATACCTGCTCATCAGACCGGACATTTTCAACATAGTCGGGTTTCGTTTGTGGTCTTTCCTTTGATTTTTGAACGGCACTGAAAGCACCTTGGCTGCTTCGGGGATACGCCGACAGAAATTCATCAACAGAAGCGAAAAAACCCCAGATCTGAACGGAATCACGTCAGCGTTCGCTTTTCGTTTCTTTGAATCCTCTGCTAAAATATGTCCATGCAAAATATTACAATCGGTAGTTATCACAAGAATGCGGAGTTGTGGGCAAAAATTTCGTCCCAGCCGGGTTTCGTACCCGAATCCCTTGCATTCCGGGAAATTGTGCTACCAGCTACATCACCGGAGCACCAGTTCACCTATACTAACGGATAACTGCTGTTTTAGGCCGCAGTTCGCGTTGCGAAAGTTATCACAAGAAGGCTGAGTTGTGGGCAAAACTTTCGCCCCAGCCGGGATTAGTACCCGTCTCACACAAACAAGTCAAAATTGGTAACAGTCGGTAGGATAATGGGTACCCCCCCTCTCACAATCAGGTATTGTGAAGGTGACGGCAGAAAATCTATGTTGAAGGCGCCACGCTCTTGTTTTATGGCCAGCATTTCATGGTCGCTAAAACAACGGCTCACAGAGATTAACACGTGCTCTACTGTTCTTGTTACCTGGTGAAGGTTAGCGACGAAAAAAACGCATGTGAGGGCAGAGAGTTCGAGCGGTCGGGTGCTCTGTAACCCTACAGCACATGCTAGTGCTACATATGCAACCCCTCTCCCAGAGCTGTGATATCTCTAGGTGAATGAGCAGCAGTCTCGCGGTCACGGGTAATCAAGTATTGGAGTGAAGGAACTACCAGGTCCACCGTTCGTTCGCACTGTTTGGAACGAGGAAGTCGCATTTGTGATTTTGGGGAGAGGCTCAGATTTTGCCGTTTTGCCACTTCATGGTACCAATTTACCCCCTCTCCCCACTCGACGGCCATTTTGGAGGGAAAGGTGGGCTGTTTGGAGTTGGCTGTGTTCGACTCTTGATTGGTCTCAAAACGCGAATTACATAGAAACGGGTTGCATGATAGGTAATAGCCAGGATCGGAGGGAGGGAGGAGGGGCTACGGTATAAGGAGCGGCCGGCCTGAGCTGATCGTGATAGTCATAGACCCTCTGAGATCCTTCAACGGGGGGGGGAGGGGACAGAATTTTTCAGGGAAGACGAGTGACTCCCTTCGAACTGCGAGTACAGAGGTCGGCTATTTGAGATCCACCACGAATTGTCGTTCTCAGTTTTTCACGTGATATAAGTTTTCAGTGGAGGGACCCAGCCGTTCCTTAGCAGGGGCGTGTCCGGCTTGCAGTTTACCTTGTACATGGGTTCTACCTTGTAGTGGTGTACGAGCTTGAGGCGGGATCGGAATATCCTTCAGGATAGGGCTGCGCCGAAACCCCATACCGATTCCCGTGACTAAAGAACCCAAAGTGCCCAAGCCCTTGGTGGGACGGCGCTCTCCTTGAGCAACGGGAACGCCCTGGTAAGGCTATCCCGTGGGACGAAAGATACCACGACCACTTCTAACGCGTCGATCAGGACCCAGAAAAGGTCAAAACTAAGCTATCTCGATCCAGAACTGTTTCGACTAGGCATAGTGGTATCATACTTTATTTTTTGAAGATAGTGGTAGCCGCGTGGGCCAAAGCAGAGCGGAATAACTGTAGAGGCCGCGTTTCACTTCGGTGTTCTGAGCCTGTCCGGGTTTACTAAATATCCTCACTTCTTTCGAATAAAAGATTTTTGAAAGTGATGCGTGCATTCATGAACTTTTCTGCGAACCAGTTCTATTTCTCAGGCGTTTTTTTGTGTGAGAAATGTCGCAGGTTTCTTCTTGGGTGGGCCTTTCCAGATGTTCGAGCGCCCTTCTCTCTGGGAGAAATGTTTCGCTCACGCATTTCTCATGCGCCAAACTCATAGCCTGCGTCGTCCTTCGTGGGATCCCATTCTGAAGTACCCGCCCATCCACAGCTTGGATCGAGTTTTCAGCAGACATAATCCTCCAGAACGACTGGGACATTCATCGCCTTTGAAATTGCAGTCATAATCGCATCGTGAGTCGTTTCACAGAATGACGTCTGATCAGGGCAGTCACCCTGCCTTCTCGCTGTTAAGTGGTTGTTTATGCTTGAATCGGATTCGGTGTTTATTTTTTATACATGCAATCTCCAAATAATGACCCTTCCACCTACAAATTCGCAAAAACTCACATCTGAAGATTTTTTCCGGAAAATTTTTAGAGTAGAAATGAAATGCAGTGCATGTAAATATAGTTCCGAAAATCAGCACCAAGTTCTAATTGGAAAAAGTAATAATTTCTTATTTCTATTTAAAAAAAACTCTGCCTGTACGGCATGTTTTCCCACTTCCACCACATGTTTTTCGACTGCATGCTATTTGTGTAATTTTATAAGCATCCTCCCTTTCAAATCTTACCAGAAGGTGATTTCTGCTTCCTATGGAACTCTGGATAATTTGATACTGTTAAAAAAAGCCGGTTATAAATTTGGAGACCAAATCTGCTACCTGAGCATTTCAATGAGCAGTCCAATGGCAGTCAGAAAATGCAGCGTCACCTTATGGGACGAGCTAAGGGGGTCTGTGGACGTATCTGTTTTCTTGAGAGGGGAGGGGGGTCGCCCTTACTCAATTGAATTATTCCCCACAGCTGCACCATTTTAAGCGCAACCTCGGCGCTTTTTCTAGGCCATTGAAATCGCAAAAGAAAAAATGTATGAATGTAAGCAAGCTAACAAATAGTGGAAACCTAGTAGGCAAGATTTTAAGTGCCCTCAGGTGGTGCGCCATGCATCCGCTCTCTCTCTAGATTTGTAGAGAGAGAAATCAATTAGCGTGCTCAGTAGCTCAAGAATAACATGAGAGCCACCAATTTTGTCACCACAAGG